AAACGGGAGAGCCCTCATGATCTAATCTCAAAGGAATTTTCCCTTTTAGACTCTTGAGTCCACAATGGATGTGGTCATACAAATTACAGAGATGCCCTTAAACCATTTTTCCTACTGTCTATGTGCAAAATACTAAGTGTCTCTTTAGGGGTTATAATCTCTTTAACAACTGTGCCTTACTTGGTCCCAGCTTTCAATGAACTTTTTTGGTCAAACTACAACTTTAAAAAAATCTTTTTTTTTTTTTTTTTGTTATTGTTGCACCCAGGGCCTTCTACCAACTGAGCTATATCCCCAGCCCTAAAAAACCCCAAAAAGACAAAAAACAAAACAAAACAAACAAACAAAAAAAACCTTTAAATTCTGTTTCTTGCTCCTGATGCTCATAGTAAACCTAGCTAAAAGCCGCCAGCAATATCCAGGCCACTAACTAAATGCTGTGCTGACTTGAAATTTCCTCTGCCAGATTAATCAACCCATCCCCTTTAAATTCAACCTCACACAAAGTCTCCAGAAATGGGCAAAACATAGCCAAGGTCTTTTCTGGAATATAAATGAATGGTTTCTAGTCCAATTCCTAATAGGGTCCTTGATTCTTTCTGAAACCTTGCGAGCACGGTTCACTTTCTCATTGGCATTCTGGTCCTCTGAGCTTCCATCAGAATGGCCCATTAAGTTTTGCTAACCACATTCTAAAGCTTTTCCAGTTTGCATCTCATAAATTTCCAGAACTTAAGCTGCCAGCCAGCTCCAATGGCTTCTGAACCACAGGGTCAGGTTAGCCACAGCCATGATCCCACTTCTCAGTACCAATTTCTGTTTCAGTTAGCATTTGCAATCCTGTGACCAAAATACCCAACAAGAACAACTTATAGGAGGAAAAGTTTATTTGAGGCTCATGGCTTCAGAGATCTCAGTCCATAGATGGCCAATTCTATTGTTCTGGGCCCCAGGTGAGACAGCACAATCATTGTGGAATGATCCAGCAGAGGAAAACTTCTCAGCTTGTGGTGGAGTCAGGAAGCAGAGAGAAAGAGGGAGAGGAGGGGACACAGGAAGAACAACCCTCTGTTACCACCCAGTGAGCCCATTCATACCAGGATGGCCTGATTAGATTTCAGCTCTCACAGTCTAATCATTTTACCTCTGAATATTCCTGCATTAACAGGGGCTTTTGGAAGACACCTCTTGTTCAAACCATGACCCACCCTGTCTCTCACCAGGTGAAGTCCTATGTCACCTTGGAAATCTGCCAGAAAGAAAGCCAGCACCAGATGCAGCCCACTGACCGTGGGTCAGATTTGTAAGCCAAAGGAGTCATCAGTTTCTTTGGAACCTACCCACTCTCTAGTATTTTATTATCATCAGTAGAAAACAGACTAACACAGGTAGTATAGTCCATCTAAACCTAAGTGCTCCAGGGACATGGCCCCAAAGAGGTGTACGTATCCAAATAAGAGTATTAGAGTTCATCAGTATTTCAAATATTTCTAATATTGCTCTGTTGTTCTTTATGTTTCTTGTTCCTCTGTTTCTTGCTCTCCTCTGGATTACTTAGATCTTGCAGGGGGGCTTCCATTACTATTTCTCTATAGATTTTTGTAAAACTTATCTCTATGTATACTTTTATTTGTGTGTGTGGTTACTCTAGGTATGAAAATATACATATAGAACTTCTCACAGACTACTAGTACTTATGTTTTACTACATAAAATGTAGAAATAGTCCTCTCATTTAGTTATTTTTACCCTCTTTACTTTAAAATATAATTGTCTAAAGTATTTCTTTTACATATATTGAACATCAGATCATGTTTTAATTTTTGCTTCAGATACCAAATATGATTTTTTAAAAAACTATAAGGAATATGGTTTGTTACATCTGCCCATTCCATTCTTCTTCTTTTTTTTTAAAAAAAATATATTTTTTAGTTGTATTCGAACACAACACCCTTATTTCACTTATTATTATTTTTTTAAATTTTTTTAAAAAAATTAGTTGTAAAATTTTTTAGTTGTAGTTGGACACAATGCTTTATTTTATTTGTTTATTTTTATGTGGTGCTGAGGATTGAACCCAGGGTCTCACATGTGCGAGGCCAGCGCTCTATCACTGAGCCACAAACCCAGCACCACCCCCACTCTTCTTTCTTTAACATTTTTCTTGCTTTTCTTATTGAAGTTCCAAGATTCCTTCCGTTATTGTTTCCTTTCAGTACAGAGAATGTCTGTAAAGCATTCTTTCAGAGCAGGTCAGCTGCTAACAAGTTCTCCCAGCGTTCCTCTGTCTGGGAATGACTTCATTTTTCTTCATTTTTCAAATGATATTTTCATTCAGTGCAGAGTTTGGCATTGACAATTCTTTTCAACATTTGGGAAATATTGAGCTATTTTCTTCCATCCTCCATGGTTTCAGATAAGAAATCTGCTATCACTTGAATTGTTCTTTTATGGGTAATGCATTATTTTTTCTACCTGTCTCAGAAATTTTTCTTAGCTTTTAGTTTTCAGAAGTTTAATTATGATATGTCTTGAGTGGGTTTCTTTATGTTTCTCCTGTTTGGGATTCATTCATCTTCTTACTAGGTTTATGCCTTTTATCAAATTTGGGGAATTTTCAGCCATTACTTTTTTCAAATATTTTTCCTGTCCTACACTTTATGCTCTCCTTCAATAACAAAAATATTAGATCTTGTTTTATTTTCCCACAGATTTCTGAGGCTCTGTACATTTCTTTCTCATTTATTTTCTCTATCTTGGTCAGATGAGGTAAATCCTATTGGTTTGTTTTCAGAGTTTCTTTTTAATATTTATTTTTTAGTTGTAGATGGACACAATATCTTTATTTTACGTGGTGCTGAGGATCGAACCCAGGGCCTCACACATGCTAGGTATCCACTTGGTTCTTCTTATGTTTTCCATTGCTTTACTGAGATTTTCTATTTTCTTTTGATCTGTTTCAAGAGTATTGAAATTGTTCACTGAAGCATTGTTATGGGATCTGTTTCAAAATCCTTGTCACATAATTTCAACATCTGAGACATCTCAGGGATGGGATTTGTCTTTTCTCCTTTCAGTCGAAATTTCCTTGACCTTTGGTATTGCAAGTAATTTTAAAAATTGTATTCCAGACATTATAGCTACTATACTCTGTGACCCTGGGGTTTAATAAATAGTATAAAATAAAGTATTTCTAAAATAAATATTTAAATATTTATTTTAGAAATACTTTATTTTATACTATTTATGTATATTTATATGCTATATTTATTCAACATTTTATTTTAGCAAGCAGTGATCCATAGGTTAGTATGTTGATTCTGGTCTACTTTTTGAAGGCTGTAGCTTCCTGTTACAATTTTTTGTTGTTACTGATTTTTGGTACTGGGGATTGAACCCAGGGGTGCTTTACCACTGAGTTACATTCCCAGCTCTGTATTATTTATTTATTTATTTTATATTTTTAAACGGTCTCAATACCTTTACTTATTTATTTATTTTTATGTGGTGCTGAGGATCAAGCCCAGTGCCTCACACCTGCCAGGCAAATGCTCTACCACGGAGCTACAACCCCAGCCCCCCTTTTTATTTTTTGAGCCAGGTTCTTGCTCAGTTTCTGAGGGTCTGGCTAGGTTGCTGAGGCTGGTCTTGAATTTGCAATACTCCTGCCTCAGCCTCCCAAGTCATTGGAATTACAGGTGTGCACCATGACACCCAGTTCCAGTGACAGTTTGGTTTCCATGTCCTTGCATGCTCTTCTAGTCTGCTTTCTTGGTGTGATAGCTAACGGTTGCTCTGAAAACCTGTATCTCCAATCTCTTAGCAAATTCACTGTGGTCAGTTTCTTGTGTGCATTGGTCAGCCATCAGCTCAGGATATCCTGTGCAGATTTAGAGAATCCCTTTCCCAAATTTTCTTGTTTCTATAATCCTCCTGTCATTCCCTCGTTGGGAGGGTGACAAGTAGCTCTGCCTGCCATGGTTGGGTGGGAAGTACAAGCACAGGCTTCCCACTTGGTTTCCACTGGTGCCGTCCTTGGGAAGGAAGCACTACTTTGGACACTATGATGCTGCTGGGCGGTGGATGGAAGTGCAGACTCCTCACCTGGCTAATGCAGCTGGTAGAGGTAGGGGAGAAAGTGCCACCTGTATCATCTGCTGTCCCTGTCCTGCCATAGCCCATCTGCTTCCACTGGGTGGGGTGGTTGCAATCCTGAATGCCCACCTGGTATCTGGGGGCACCAGGCCTGTGGGAGAGGAATATATCACATCCTTTGCTGATTGCCTCTGCTGGCTGGAGGGAAGTCTCCCGACTCATTTTCTATGGATGGCATGTTGCCAGGGCAATAAAGTGCTGTCTCTAGGCTGCTTGTGCTGCCTGCTATTGTCTAGAGTCAGCCTGCTTTCCTCTTTGCATCTTTCATAGTCCGTTTTGAGGGTCTTTGTTGTCCTTCGTGGAAGGAGCAGGGAGAAATGGGTCTGTAGCATCTTCTCTGAAACTCCGATGCAGCTAACAACAACTCCTCCTCCTTCTCCTCCTCCTCTTCCTCCTCCTCCCCCACCTCTTCTTCTTCTCCTTCTCCTTCTCCTTCTTCTTCTCTTTTTTTTCTAGTTCTGGGGATTAAACCCAGGGGCAGTCTACCACTGAGCCACAGATCTTTTTATTTTGACAGAGGGTCTCATGAAATTGCTGAGGCTGGCCTCAAATTGTGATCTACTTGCCTCAGCCTCCCAAGTAGGTGTGTGCCACTGCACCTGGCTTCTGCTGTGGTTTTTACCAAAAAATGAATTTTTAAATTTTGATTAAAAATCTGATTTATGTGAGGCCCTGGGTTCAATCCTCAGCACCACATAAAAAAATAAATAAATAAAAGTATTTAAAAATCCGATTTATGAATTTTTTCTATTATACTTTATGTCATATTTTGTGTCATATTTTAAGAACTTTTTGCCAAGCTCATTGTCACTGAGTTAGTTACCATATAATAAATTATGCTCAAGATTAGCATCTTTAAACAATAAACGCTTTTATTACTTCACAGTTTCCATGCATCAGGAATATGGGAGCAGCTTAGCTAGGTAGTTCTGGCCACCCAATCTTTCATGAGGTTGCAATCAGCTGTCCCTTGTTTGTGGGGGTCGTGGTCATCTTCAGGTTGGTGAGGGGACTATCTGCTGCCAAGCTCATGTGTGAGATCGATGGTAACCCTCCTGCTCCTCACCACAAGGGCCTCTTCCAATAGCAAGGCAGCTGATTGCTCTCTTCCCTGGGAGTTTCATGCTATGGCAATCGGTGTCCCCTGCAAAGTAAATAACAAACAGAGACAGACAGAGAACCCACAGTGAAAACTGCAGTTTTTTTTATACACGAATCTCAAAACTGACGTCCCACCATATCTGCTATATTCTCTTTGCTAGAAGAGAATTTGGTACCAGGGATTGAACTCAGGGGACACTCAACTACTGAGCTACATCTCCAGCCCTATTTTGTATTTATTTAGAGACAGAGTCTCACTGAGTTGCTTAGCGCCTTGCTAAGTTGCTGAGGCTGCCTTTCAACTCACTATCCTCCTGCCTCAACCACCTGAGCTCAATGCTGGGATTTACAGGCCTAGCTAAGCTCCACCTCTTGAAGGGAGGAGTGTCCCTTTAAAATTTGTGGACCGTACAGTTGCTAAATTTCCCTATTATCTTTTCTTCCAGAATTTTTTACTTCTTCTAGCAGTTTTATGCTTTTAGTTCTCCAACTTACATATGTGACCTATTTCACGTTAATTTTTGGAAATGGTGAGAAGTAAAGGTTAGGCTCAAATTGTTTTATATATGACTATTTCTTAAAAAAAGATTATGCTTTCTCCATTGAACTGCCTTTGTTGACCATTAATTGACCATTGCTATAGTTTGGATCTGGAATGTCAACCAGAGTGTTAAAAGCTTTCTCTCAGGGTGGTGCTGTTGGGAGATGGTAAAAACTTTAGGAGGAGGTATGTAGCCTGGTGGGAGATCTTAAATCAGTGGGGCATGCCCTTTAAAGGGGATGCCTCAATCATCTTCTTTTTGTTTCCCAGTTTTCTTCTTTTTAAGTTGATATACCTCAGGTACTTGACAGAGCAACGGAAGGCTGACAGATAAAAGCTTATATGATTGGGTCTATTTCTGTGCTTTCTATTTTTTCCTTCTTTTTATGGATCTTTAGATCCATATCATACTGTCTTGATTTCTACAACTTTATAATAAGTCTTGAAATCAGGTAATGTAAGTTTGTTCTTAGAGCTATTTTGGCCACGATAGGTTCTTTACATTTCCATATCAATTTTACAATAAACTTGCCAATCTCAACTAAAAAGCTTGCTGGGATTTTGATTAAAATTGCAGTAATCTTTGCCAGGTACACACAGGGAGCACTGGCATTACTGGCTACTGGGAGGCACCTTTATTAGGTGTTCACCTTTATTAGGTCAAGTCATGCTGTGTTCTAAAATGATCGAACCCATTCACATTTCCACCAGCAGTGTCTGCAAGTTCTTCCCCCTAAGTCTTTCCTAACACTCTATGTTGGTAGAGGTTTTACTAATCTAGTGGGTATGGGATTGCATATCATTGTTTTAATTTATATTTTCTTGATTAGGTTAGGCATCTTTTCACAGTTAATGGGCTTTCTGGTTCCTTTCTAGGAAGACCTGCTCTAGGTTTTAATTTGCTGAGTTGTAGCTTGGTTCATGGATTTTTTTTTCAAAAAGGACATATATTCTGGGTATAAATCCCTTTTCAGGTATATGCATTGCAAATACCCTCCGAATCATTGTTGATTTGCTTTCTTTCTCCTAATGAAGTCTTTAAAAAAAACATAATTTTAATGTAGTCTTCATTTCTTTATTATGAATTAGTTAATTTATTTTTGTGGCTGGGGATTGATAGGGCCTTGTGCAGGCTAAGTACGTGCTATACCGCTGAGCGACCTCCACCCCAAACGTGGACAATTTTTAGAAAAACCAATCTTTTCCTTTTTACCTTATGCTCGTTTTGTCTTAACTCTCTTTCCCTCTCCAGAGTAGACGTGAGATTCGCCCTTATGCCCTTTGAGTTTCTTTGGGATGCTTTCCATATTGAGGCTTGCAGATTTTCACAGTTCACAAGTGTCCCTATCCCCACACCTCTGGGAGGCTGGACAGCTGCCTTTGTTGCTCAGGTGGAAATGAAGCCCTGGGACCCAGCAGCCCACTCAGCTTGGAACCTGCAATGACTTGTTTCACCGTCAGGGCAGGGGCTCGGCGACGGCCAGCAGGTGTCGCCCTATCCCGCGCCCCGCCTGCCGCCTCTCAGGCACCCGGGAGCTGCTTCTTGCTACGTCACCCTGGACTCTGTCTCGCTGGATCCTATCTTCACAATGCGCCCTGCACTCAGGGCTTTTATGATTAAAGATCATCCTGCCAACAGCTTCCTTCCGAGCCAGGTTCTCGGGGTCCCCGCGCTCCCTACTGCCCTGGGCTTGGCCCCAGGCTGCGCTGCGCTTGGAAACTCCCCTTTTCAGACTTCAGCCTCCGTAGGTAGCGAGGAGTCCAGGGTTTTGTTCTAGTGACACCTGCAGAAGTTCAGAAAACTTCAAAGGTGCAGAAAAAGGAAAAAATACCCTATAGTTCCAAAAATAGTGTATTTCCCTTCTTTCTGCAGAGCGATTCTTTTAAACACGCACTGCAGTACCCACTGTGTCCCCAACAGCGTGAGAAGCTCGCCCACCCCCAGCTCCGGGAGGCTCCCTGACCCTGCAGACAGACCGACCCGACCTTGGCTTCTCTGTCAAGTGGCTTTTCCGTCCCCGCGGCCCTTCGGGGTTCTCTGCGGGTCACCACCGGAGCCCCCTTCACGCCCCAGAGTCGCGTCCACCACAACTGACCCACAGGCTTTCTTGGGACGATGGCCATGTGATCCTCCTGCCTCATCCTCCGGGTCGCTGGGGTTCCACGATGGTCACCACTCCTGGTAAACGGGTTTCTGTCAGTTATGTGTATCTCATCCATCCATGGGGTCCCTGGAGCATGGATCTCTGTGCCTATGCTCTCTGATAGGGGCGACCCCACAGCTGGGCGCTTGGTACAGGACCCACCTCTGCTTCCCGCCGCGTCGCCCTTCCCTGATTCCTGCAGGAGGCTGAACTGGCCAGTGGAAAAGTAGGTGGAGGGGAGAGACCCGGCTCTCTCTGGCTCTGCAGGGCTCTGTTCGGAGGGAAGCACCGAGCCCTCTGCTGGTCAGCGTGCAAACCCCCATCAGTCTGCGTGCTGAGGACACCACTGCCCTGCCTCTGCACAGGTGAGCTTAGTTCCACGTGGAAATCACCATGGGTCAGGCAATCAGGGTGGGCGTCCACCAGGCCCTCCTGTCCCGGGGATGTTTTGGTACCAGAGTTGATTGAACACAGGGGGTGCTTAACCACTGAACTACATCCCCAGTTGTTGTTCTTCTTATTATTATTATTTTATTTTGAGACAGGGTCTCCCTAATTTGCTGAGGCTGGTCTTGAGTTTGCAATCCTTCTGCCTCAGCCTCCTGAGCTGCTGGGATTACAGGATTGCCACACTTTCAGCCAACTGTTCACTTTGAATTGATGCATACCTCTTTCTCAAATGCCTACTACATTATTGTCCTATAGATACTTGTTAAGAGGTTTGGACCAAACTACTTAATAAACAAACTAGTTTGTTTCCTTTGTCCTAGGCAGTGCTGAAAATTGTCTGAGACACCTAGGCCTCCATGAACTGAGGGAGTTTGGGGGCCTCTGCTTTGTAAATGAAAAAATTAACATCTGCCCTCAGAGGCACAGATGTGTGTGGCTCCCTAGTTACCTCTAGACAAGTAGGATACCAAAGGGGCCTGATACCAGGAAAGACAGGACAGCGGTGACCTTCCATTTTGCCCTTATTCTGCAGACCACTAACAAATGGCAGCATCTCTTCTCTGAAAACCAAACTTCAGAAAGGGATTTTCCGTGTGGTTTTATCTGGACCCAAGCAGTATTGCTGAGTCAGTGAGGTCTAGCTGGGCCTGAGAGAGTGGGGGGGAAACAAGCCCAGGCAGGTGGCACACATCTGTAATCTCAGTTACTCTGGAGGCTGCCGGTAGCAAGGTAGCAAGTCAGAGGCCAGACTGGGCAATTTCCAGAGACCTTGTCTCAAGATATCTATAGCATACAGTGCAGGAAACTAAACTATAACCACTGTAACAGTCATCTCCAAATGGTCAGGATTTGATTAGTAATCGCATGCTTCCCTAAATTTTGTCCCCATTTCCAATTTGGGACCAATCAGAGAAGGCCAACATGGATCCTGGGCTGGGGCTTTAGCTTAGTGGTAAAGCACTTGCCTGGCATGTGTGAGGCACTGGGTTTAATCCTCAGCACCACATAAAAAATGAATAAGTAAAATACAGGTCTTGTGTTCATCTGTAACTAAATATATATATATATGGATCTCTAGCCCATCCTAGAATGCCCTGCTTCTAGTGAGCAGCCTCCAGCCTTCCCAGTCAGCAGCCTCCAGCCAGGGCACCCCTGGAGCTGTCCCTTACCCACTGTGATGCTTCCTCAACCCTCTGCCTGCCTTCAGACACTCTGCCAAAGCACAGGTGAGGGTAGCTGACTCCCTTGCTATTGTAAGCTCTGGAGAAGTAAACTTTGCACATCTCATTTGGTTCATCATCTTTGATTTCCACAAGGGGATTATAATTTCCTTCTGGGTGAAATGTGCTAAGTAAATCCACCTTTGAAAACCAGGAAAAAGATGGTGGTCCCCAAATTGGACTCAGAGATCTGTCAGATGAGCAGATGTTATGGGCAGGGTGGGGTGGAAAGGGGCTTGATTTGGGGATGGTGGCCTTGGAGGGGACCCCACCCTGCCAGGCCCGGGATCCGCTGAGAGGACTGTGGAGCTGAGGCCCAGGACACCTCACTCATGTGCATTTCTGCCCCATCCTGGCAGTCCAGAGGGAACCTCGGGCTGGAGGCACTGTCCTAGTCTGTTTGGGAGGCTGGGGAGGCTTACACAACAGACATTCGCTTCTCCACAGTTCTGGAGGCTGGAAGTCCAAGGTCAAAGCATGGTCAGGGCTGGTTTCCTCAGAGGCCTTTCTCCTTGGCTTGTAGCTGGTCTCTTCTCTGTGCACGCTCATCCCTGCCCTCTCTTTCTCCTCTTCTGAAGGATATTGTTCCTGTTGAGATTTCATTTAACCTTTGTGTAGATTTGATTTGTGTTGCTATAGCAAAATATTTGGGACTGGGTAACAATACATAGATTATTCAGCTCACAGTTTTAAGAGCCTCAAAGTTGAAGATCAGGTGGCCTCACTTGATTGGCCTCTGGTGAGGGCCCCTCCACCCTGGCTGCCTCACAAGACGGTGAAGAAAAGGAAAGGGAAATGGGGGTTGTAGAAGGGGTCAGGCTCACAGGGTGACCTCACTGGAGAATATGCAGCTCTCCCAAGAGTCACCTCACCCTGAGACCAGCCCTATCCCTTTATAAGGATGAGGATGGACCCCATGATCTAATCACCTCTCACTGGGCCTGACCTCTTCAGTGTGCCACACCTCTCAACATTGTCACACACACACACACACACACACACACACACACACACATACGTGTTTCTACCACATGAACCTTTGGGAGACACACTCAAGCCATATCCAAACCATAGTACTCTATTTTATTTTTATTTATTTATTTTTTTTTTTTTTTTAGTATTTATATTTTAGTTGTAGCTGAATACAATACCTTTATTTTATTTATTTAACTTTATGTGGTGCTGAGGATCGAACCCAGGGCCTCACACGTGCTAGGCAAGTGTTCTACCGCTGAGCCACAACCCCAGCCCCTCTATTTTATTTTTAATTTTAACTTTTAGTACTGGGGATTGAACCCAGGGGCACTTAACCATGGAGCCACCTCCCAGCCCTTTATATCCTTTATTTTGAGACAGTACTTTCCTAAATGGCTTAGAGTCTCACTAAGTTGCAGAGGCTGCCTTAGAACTTGAGATCTTCCTGCCTCAGCCCCTCAAGCCAACTGGGATTATAGGCGTGTGCCACTGTGCCTGGCTAGACCCTGTCCTTCTAAGGAAGCTTCCTGGAAGTACTCCGTAATGTTCATGCTTACATTTCTTTGAACCAAAAAGACATTAAAAGCACTAAACAAAAAGACACACTGAAAACACTATCCAAAAAGACAAAAGAAAAATTGACAATTTAGATTTTATTATAACTGGGATTTTTCTCTTCATCGAGAGAATAAGTAGTTAAGCCAAAGACAGGGAGAAGATACTCAGAAAACAATCTTACAAAGTATCCTCATCAAGAATATTTAAAGATTTACTGAAAATTAACATGACTGTCTAATTTTAAAAAAGGAACAAAAGAGGAAAGTGGACTTTTAGTTTCAAGTTCCACCTGGGGAGCTTGGAAGTCACCACTGCATCCTAATGACAAGAGGAACGGTTGCCCCAGACAGAGGGGGGGTGTCGCTTACTAGAGTAGAAACCCAGAGGCCTTGGCAGGGGGGACACCAGTGTTGGGGTAGGAAATCCTGAACTGTCATTGGCAAAGTGATGAAGGCGAGTGTGAATGAGTCAGAGCGTAAAACCTCCAGGGGACCCAGTCAGGGGAGTGGGGGGTCCAATGTCGTGAGATTGACCTCTGGGTAGGTCCCCATAGTGAGCAGAGGAAAATTCCTTTGTGCTTCTGGCAGAATCATTTGAAGTAAGCCACAGCACTGTTCTAGAGACTAGGTAACCCCAGGCTAACTATCACCGAGCAATTCCTCTTGCCCACACGGCACACTGTAGCACTGTGGGCGTCCGTACAGCAGTTCCTGTTATTCAGGACCTCATGTCCACCACCGAGAAACAATCACAAGGCACACAAAAGCCAAACGAAACCAAATAAAAAACAAACAGGGGCAGATAAACATGAGAACCAGAGTTGGCAGAGATATTGGAATTGTCAGAGAATTTAAAACAATCATGATTACCCAGGGCCAGTGGCATGTGCCTGTAATCTCAGCTACTCTGGAAACTGAGGAAGGAGGATTGCACGTTTGAGGCCAGCCTAGGCAATTTAGCAAGACCTTATCTCAAATTAAAAAAAAAAAAAAGAGATGGGGGGATTGCTAAGTTGGTAGAGTGCTTGCCTTGCATGCATAAGGCCCTGGGTTCAATCCCCAGCTCCACAAAAAAATAAAAATAAATAAATAAATAAATAGATGGAAAACTAAAATTAAAAAAATAATAAGAAGGGCTGGGGTATACCAAACACCCTTGGATTTAATCCTCACTACTACAGACATACACACACAGTACTCACTAAATAAAACAACTATGATTAATATGCTAAGGACCTTAAAGTAGCAAACATGCAGGAACATATTGGCAATGCAAAAAGATAGAAATCCCAAGGGGAAAAATGTTAGAAATGAAAAGCCCAATAATAGAAATGAAGCCTTTGATAGTGTGTAGGTAGTCTTGTGTCACTGTAACAAAATACCTGAGATAATCAACTTATAAGGAGAAAAAATTTATTTGGCTCACCACTTCAGAGGTTTCAGTCCATGGTCACTTGTTTCTGTTGCTTTGGGTCTGTGGTAGCACTGTACATCGTAGTGGGAGCACATGACAGAGCAGGCCAGTTCACCTCATGGTGGCCAGGAAACAAAGTGAGAGACAGGAAGGAGCCAGGATCCCAATATCCCCTTCAAGGGCATGACCCCAATAACCTAACTTCCTCCCTCTAGGCTCTATCTCCCAATAGTGCCGTAGGTTAGGGGCCAGCCTTTACCATATGATCCTTTGTGGATATGAAAGATCCAAATCATGGCCAATGGGCCCATTAGTAGACTGGACAGAGCTGAAGAAAGACTCTGTCAGTTTAAGAATATGAGGGGTGGGAGGGGACGGCATGGGGTAATTCATGATGGTGGAATGTGATGATCATTACTATCCAAAGTACAGGTATGAAGACACAAATTGGTGTGAATATACTATGTATACAACCAGAGATATGAAAAATTTTGCTCTGTATGTGTAATAAGAATTGTAATGCATTCTGCTGTCATATATAAATTTTAAAAATTACATAAAAAAGAGTATATTAATAGAAATTTCCAAAACTCGGGGGCTGGGGTTTGGCTCAGTGGTAGAGCTACTACCTAGCATGCATGAGGCACTGAGTTCGATCCCTGACACCACATAAATATACACAAAATAAAGGTATTGTGTCCATCTACAGCTTATATAGATATGAAAAGCATAGAGGAGAAACATCAAGGAAAACAAACAAATAAAAAAACCAACAGAACAAGGATATAGTGGGACAGCTATTAAATGTAGACACATAATGGGGACATCAGAAGGAGAAGAAAGAAAAAAAAGAACAGAAGAAATATTAGAAACAATAACAATGGAAAATTTCCCCTAATTAACATCAGATACTAAAGTACATATCCAGGAAACATAGAAGACAGAACACATGATTTAAAAAAAAAAAAAAAACTCTTCCCCTACACATTTCATTTTCAAACTACAGAGAATTAAAGCTAGAGAAAGAATTTTGAAAGACTCCAGATGGGGGAAACACCTTACCTATAAAGAATAAAGATAACAATCACATCCAATCGTTTCTCAAAAACTATGTGTGTATAGTACGTAACACACAGTAGTGTACATGTGCTGCACAAACCACATGCAGCGTGCCACACATAAAACACACGACCTGCTCATGAAACAATGTCATGTGTGCCTGCGCACCATGGGATATGCACACCGCATACTACAACGCCACACAACACACAGCAGATGTGTGCATGTATAGTATATAACATGACGTGTGTATAATGTGTAACATGTGTACCGCATATATGTATGGCATTTGTATGCATCATGTATCCCGCATGGTGCATAGCGTGCATGGCGTGTGGCACAGAGAACATATAACACAGGCACACTGTGTGCCGTGCACAGCGGGGACAGCAACGCCTAGGGTTTGACCTTCTGCGAGGCACTTTTCTCCTGGCCTAAGGGTGGAAATAGCTTTTTCTGGCACACAGAATTAAGCCTGGTTGACCCCACCCTCACTCTCTACCCTTTATTTCCTTCTTAGGACCTGGCCTGAACCAGCCGGGATGAAGAAGGGCCCTTTTGTAGTGTGACTTTGAGTGGACAACAGCCTGGGAGGCTCTTTTCTGCACCAAGTCACTGGAGTCACGCAGAGTGGTCACTCTTGGCAGGCCAGGCCCTGGGCTGGGTGTGTGAGGGAGGCCCGCTTCCCTCCCCTCCATCCTGCTTGTTTTCAACAAGCGGGAGCAGCGTGAAAAGAGGGCTTCTGGTGGCTGCTCTGAATTCAAGGTCTCTTAGATTGTGTCCCCCTGAAGTGGCCTCTATGAGGGTTCCACTGCAAGTAATCTAGTCACAAGGCCCCACCGGACTCTCCCTTAGGTAAGTGGGGAGGTGAAGGAGGATACAGCAGGGCATCTATTCAAGCAGGTCTGTTGAGAGCCCCAGCAAACTTTCAGACTGCCAGCTGATGATTGGCTCACAGCACTCAGCAACATCTAGCTGATTGGCTCCTCTGCGGTGATGCTCATTGGGCTGTTTCCCTGCCCTTCAGACTGCCAGCTGATGATTGGCTCACAGCGGCCCCAGCAACATCTAGCTGATTGGCTCCTCTGCGGTGATGCTCATTGGGCTGTTTCCCTGCCCTTTCAGACCACGGAGCTGCTCACTGAGGGACTTTTTTGGCTCCGCCCACGTGACCCAGCCAATCGCCCTCAAGAGCAGGAGGATTATGGGAGGTGGAGAGGCTTGTATGGGGGTGAGAGGCTTGTGGGAAGCCGGTGGTGGCTGTTGGACTCTGAGGGTTTTTTCCTGAGGAGCTGTTTTGTTTGGCGTGTGCGGTTCTAAAAATAAAGTTAGTTTCTTTTGACAAGTGGCTCCTAATTGTGCCCAGCCAGACTGTGACACAGGTCCTCCTAGCAACTGGGGTCAATCCCCTTGGGAACCTGGGAGATGTATCCTCATCTCTGGCCTTTACTTCTCCACCTGCCTCACAGAGAGGTCCAGGCTACAGCTTATCACGCTGTCACGTGCCTGTATCCAGACCTGTCATTTTAAGTAGAAATACATGCTCAGGGAGTGTAAGTGCTTTACACTTAATACTGGTTAGTAGAGGAGCTACGGGTCGAATTTTCACATCAGCTTCTAGGCCAGCGTGAAGGCCTAGGGGACACAAGCAGGGGCTGGACTCAGGGGCAGTGGGCACACCCTCCTTCCTGACCTTTAGCAAGTGAGTAGAGTGGAACTGAGGGCAGAACTAGGAGGCCCCCACTTCTGACTTGGCACCCCTCTCAGTGTGACTCCTGCCTAATCTGACCCTCTGTGTAAAAGACCTGCAGTGGATCCACCCGTGGAGAGGTCAGGTCCCATGCAGGAGAAGCCATAGTGGCCTCCCAAGGATAGGTTCTCAAGGGAACTGAGAAAAGAAGCAAAATAGGTGATTGTGGAGGGGAGATGGTGGTGGTTGTCCCTCCAAAAGATGGCCCCAGCCTGGTGAGGAGCAATTGTTCTCCCTTGCTGGGAGAGTCCAACGTAGTAGGTGTTAGGAGGGCCTGGACAGAGGTTTGGGTCTCCAGTCAATGCTTGCCACAAGCCTGTCCTGAGTGGATAAAGATGGAGGCACCAAGGACTGGACATGCCATTCTTTAGATCCTCACATCAACGTTCTCAGTTATTGAGTCTGGAGAGTCTTCAAATGGAGCCTCTCTTGGGTCCAAAGGAAACGTGGATGTCTGTCTTGGTTAAGGATAACTCAGCTTGGGGGTGGAAGTGTAGCTCAACTGCAGAGCACTTGCCTAGCATGTGCAAGGCCCTGGCCCCTAGCACTACCATCAATCAATCAATCAATCAATCAGTCCTCAGCTTGGATAAAATAAAATTCTGCTGGATAGAGTAGATCTGCTTCTAGAATATGGAGTAGATGTGCTTTTCCCTCTTTCTCCTGCAAAGTAAAACTGAGTTCTGCAGAGTGGAGAGAAGAGCACAGGAACAGTTTTGGCTAGGGACCTTGAGACCTGATGCATGACCTGGTGATGTTCTGGGTTTTTTTTTTTTTTTGCCTCATCTATCCTTGGAGCAGAACCAACAAGGAACCCAGAAATGCCCATGGGCACAGACGGAAAAAAAAAAAATCCAAGAAAGCTTATGTCTTCACCAAAAGACCACGAAAGCCTTAGTCTAGCAGAACATTCTTAGCATTAGCCACTCTAGTCCAGCTAAACACCTCAGAAAAATCTGTGGGCCCCAACCTACTCCCAACTGGTAAAAGGGCAAGTGGGGACCCTACACTATAACAGGGCACCCTGATGCCCCTGCTGGGGTGCTGTCAGAGAAGGCCAAGTGGGGGCTCAGAACTTTTATCCCCACTAGCTGGCCACAAGTCCCCTCCTCCCAGGTTTCAGTGAGAAGGAGACCCCACCTCAGATACCGAGAAAGGTCATGAAGGGAACCTGGGCTTCTACCTCCACCTGAAAGTAAGAGGTCCCTCTCCCGTGTCCCAGCCAGAGTGCTAACAGTGACATGGAGGCCACAACAAAAGGTTTAAAAAAGATCCAGAGTAACATAATGTAAAAATGTCCAGGTTCCAATGGAAGACGACTCATCCTATCCAGAGCCAGGAAAATCTCAAGCTGAGTGAAAAAGGACCATCAGGAGCACAGAGATGTCACAGTTATTGGACAACCCATTTGACAAGGATGTCTAAAGTAACCATAAAAATACCTCGTTGAATTATTATAGAAATCTCTTGAAACACATAAAAATAGAATGTCCCAGCAAAGAGATAGAAGCTGTAAAGAAGAACCCAGTGGAAATTTCAGAACTGAAACACAGTGACCGAAATAAAAAGCTCAGATAGGCTCAAAAGTAGAAGGGAAAGGTGGGAGGGATCCGTGAGCTGAAAGACCAACAATAGAAACTACTCAATCTGAACAACAAAGAAAGAAAAATCAGGGCTGGGGTTGTGGCTCAGCGGCAGAGCGCGTGCCTAGCGTGCATGAGGTGCTGGGTTTGATTCTCAGCACCGCGTATCAATCAATAAAACAAAGGTCCACTGACCACTAAAATATACGTCTATAAAGAAAAGTCAGATTTAAGGAAAATGAACAGAGCTCATGGGACTCTAACAAGATCTTAACATCATCAGAGTCCTGGAAGGAAAGAAGAAAGAGAGCCGATCTGGCAAAGTATGTGCACACACACTGGCTGAAAACTTTTCAAATTTGGCAGAAGGCATAAGTCTACCTAGTTAGGAAGCTGAATGAATGAATGCCCAACTGGATAAACACAAAGAAATAATTCCATGATGACATAATTAAACTTTTGAATACTAAAGAAAATAATATTAATAGTAGCCAGAAGGATGGAAAAAAATACCACATTATCTATGCAGGAAAAAAAAAAGACCCAAATGTCAGTGCATTTCTCATCAGAAACAGAGGCCAAAAAGAAGTGGCATAATATTTTTTTGAGTGCTAACTAAAAAGTATTGTTAATCCAAGATCCTATACCAAGCAAAAAATATCTTTTAGGAATAAACCACCAAATTCTCAGATAAAGGAAAACTATGAGAAATTGCCAACAGCACACTTACTTCAAGGGATGACTGAAGGAAGGTCACTGAGCAGAAAGGAATCAATAAAAGAAGGAAGCTTGGAACACCAGGAAGGGAGAAAGGACATGGTAAGCCAGAATGTGGGCAAATACACTAAATGTAAATGGTATAAATACATCAGTTAAAAGGCAATAGTTGGTGCTTGGGATATAGTTCAGTTGGTAGAGTGCTTGCCTCACATGCACAAGGCTCTTGGTTCAATCCTCAACACCACACAAAAAATGGCAATAGTTGGCTGAGCAAGGTGGTGCATGACAGGAACTTGGGAAGCTGAGACAGGAGGACTGCAGTTTGAGGCCAGCCTCAGCAATGAAGTGAGGTTCTAAGAAACTTATCAAGACTTAGTCTCAAAATGAAAAAAAGGGCTGGGGTGGTACCTCAGTGGTAAAGTATTACTGTATTCAATCCCCAGTACCTCCATCCCCCAAAAGGGCCATGAATGGCTGAATGGTTTAAGAAACATGCCCCAACTCTATGTTACTTCCAGGAATTATAGATAGGTTGAAAATAAAAGGATTAAAGAAATATAGACAAGTTGAAGGTAAAGGGATGAAAAAAAAGTATATGATGAAGTATTAATCAGAAAAAAGCAGGGGTGGCTATAATAATATTAGAAGGTATATTCCAGAGCAAAGACAACTTTCAGAGACAGTAAGGGACAATATAATGCTAATGGGTCAAAATTCACCAGGACGGCATAATGATCTTAGACAGGCAGTAATAAACTATATGACATGAAACTGAGTAGACAAATGGAAATAAGACAGATTCACAATTACAGTTGGAGATTACAATGTCCTGCTCTGAAAAATTGATACAACAACCCTGCACCTACTATAGAAGAAAACATATGCCCAACTTTCCATCATGGCGGCCAAGGAACTGTCTTCCTCAACAAGACTCCTAAAGCACAAGAAGTAAAATAAAGAATCAATAAATGGGATGGCGCCAAACTAAAAAGCTTCTTCACAACATAGGAAACCATCAAGAACTTGAAGACAGAGTCTACAGAATGGGAGAAAATCTTTGCCACCTGCACCTCACATAGAGCATTAATTTCTATTAATCAAAAAACTTAACACTCCCAAACCAAATAACCTAATCAATAAATGGGCAAAGAAACTGAAAGACACTTCACAGAAGAAATCCAAATGGCCAAAAAATATATGAAATAGTGTTAAACATCTCTAGCAATTAGATAAATGCAAATTAAAACTACAATGAGATTCTCTCACTCCAGTCAGGACAATTGAAGGACAATTGTCAAGAATACAAGTAACAATGACTGTTGGTGAGGATATTGGGGGGGGGGGAAGGTACACACATACATTGCTGGTGGGATGGCAAATTGGTGCAACTACTCTGGAAGGCAGTATGGAGATTCCTCAGAAAACTTGGAATGGAACCACCTTATGACCCAGCTATCCCACTCCTAGGCTTATACTCAAAGGACATAAAATCAGCATACTACAATGACGCAGCCATGTCAATGTTTATAGCAGCTCGATTCACAATAGCTAAGTTATGGAACCAACCTAGGTGCCCTTCAACAGATGAATGGATAAAGAAAATGTGATTATATATATATATACAATGGAATATTACTAAATATATCTAAAAAGAACAAATATATATATATGTATATATATATATATATGCAATGGAATATTACTAAATATATCTAAAAAGAACAAATATATATATATATATATATATATATACGCAATGGAATATTACTCTGCCATAAAGAAGAATAAAATTATGGTGTTTGCCAGTAAATGGATAAAACTGGAGGCTATCATGCTAACTGAAATAAGCCAATCCCCTCAAACCAATATTCTGAATATTCTTTCTGATATTTGGATGCTAGCATACTATAAGGGGTGGGGAGGGAAGAATAGAAGTTCATTGGATTAGTCAAGGGGAAGTGAAGGGAAGGG